GTAAATTTGTATAGGCAAGAAATCTCTTTGGTAGGAGATTTATTAACAATTTCCCAATATGTTTTAGGGAATTGGTATAGATTTTTATCCTTATTTAGTCAGATTGAGCAATTTACATTTTTTCTTGTCACGGAGATTTCCAACTGTAGTAACATACATTTGTAGATTATATTCTTATAATGTCTCAATAATGCATGTGTCTCATTTACCATCTTAAATTTATCAAAGATTTGTCTATTTAGTAGGTTTATCCCTTTTTCCAAAAAGCAAGTTTTTAGGTTTATTTACAAAAGCTACCATTTTTCCGTGTTTTGGTCCCAAGAATCCAACTCAGGATCTTGCCCCTGCCAGGCAGATTCTGTGCCACTGAGCTGTAGCCTGGCATTTGTCTGTTTTTTGGTTGATTATTTCTAGTAAACAGCAGCCACCCAAGGCCTCCTAAGTTCTCCAGCACCTGCCTCACCCTGTGTGGTAGCTGTCTTCTTGAAAAGTTGTGTGTCAGTGGCATCTTTACAAATGGAGTTGTGCTTTTCACTGATTGTGTTTTCACTTCACAAGTTTTTATTTTCATATCTTTAATCTTCAGTGATCTACAGTTAACTGTTTAAAAATAATGTCTCCAGCACCAGGGAGCCGTGATATTTAAATTGTCTTACTTCTTTAATGCAAAGTACTGTGCTTATTTACTTGCACCCCGATTTATTTGTTTTTATGTAGTAGGTATCCGCTAAGTGGGATATAGCTATGTGCAGTGGAAGACATTTGCCTTCTGCTGTCCCCCGTCCCTGCACACTTGTGGACTTTATTACTACTAACCTCTCTTTATGAGCAAAGGACACAGCAGCTCATTTATAGATGAATTCTTTCTTTTCCAGTGCTTGTGCCGCATGCTGACTGCTCACAGGATGTGGGATTTGCTAGCCAAGAGGAACATTGTCCTACTTACTTTTATAATAGAGGAATTTGGTTGCAAGATGGCTGGTGATTCTGGAGAGCCTGGTCTTGGGTGGGGATACAAAGGTAACTGGCCTTGCCTTGGAGACTAGGTGAGCAGGCTGGCCATGGTGGGGTAGGGGTGGGGGGTCCCCAGGGGCCCTTAAGCTAAGAAGGCTTTGTGAAAAGCCCATGAGCTTTGTCCTACAGGAGCCAACCCTGGTGGTCAGTTGTGATGGGATTGCGGTTTCGTCATACATTTAAGAGTGGCTTTTATTATTTTTGCCCTGTTGCTTGTTACTAATTCCTCCCCACCCCCAAATTTTCCTCCTTTCTATCCTTTGGTTTAATGATGGTGAACCTTTTAGAGACCAAGTACCAAACTGCAACCCAGAACCCACTTATTTATCACAAAGTGCCAGTACTGCACTTAAGCATTTAGTTTAGAAAAAACAACTCATACATTAGCATCTTTTGTCTTAAAAGAAAAACACTATAAGACATGTGCTGTAAGTGTTCCACCTCTGCTGGTTCTTTGTAATTAGGACATCTCAGGAGTTTTTTGATTACATGTGAAACTTACATTAACTAAATTTGTGTCATGGGTCTTTTTATTAGGGGAGCCTCAGCCTCGACCCTAAGGAAAGGTGGAAGACAGATGCTTTAATCCCTGTGTAGAGCAGTGCTGGCTTCCAGAGACTCTGCTTCCTAATTTTAATATCCCTCTCTTGAGGGCCTTGGAGCAGGACATAGGCTGGAGAGCACTGGAAAGCAAACCTTCGTGAGGACCCCTCCCATTCTACTCCCTTCTGCTCAGGACGCTGCTCCACGCTGGGCCCCACACAGGACGTGCACAGAGCTCTCGTTACTCTCTTGGCTGAGAGTTTCCATCCACCTCTCCCAGGAACAGAAGGGTTCCCATGCAGATGGCACCCTTGGAGGCCTGCCTAGAGATCGCAGAATTCCTTCGGTGAGCAGCCCTATTTGGGAGGTTTGCAGGCCATTTATACAGTTTATTGTTTTGTATCCTGTTTGCATATCTGATTTACTTTTGCTTGGGTTGTTTATACATCACATTTTCATGCTTTGAGTTAAAACTGGAAGAGATGGAGTCCCTAAGCCTCAGGTGTCACGGAAAACCAGTACCTTATTACTTCTCTTCTGAATGGTAATCTGCTTATGAATATTTGAGAGTTACTTACCATTAAATTCCCTTATCCTAAGAAACCCATCTTTTCTGGTCCCCCTCCCTATTCTCATTTTTTGCCACAGTGCACTGTATCCACTGGCTTCCTAGGGAAATAAAGAACCAGTAGGAGCTGATTGAAATTTTTCAAATGCATAGAAACAGCAGGACATGTACATAGTGATTGGGTGTACTCGTCCCTGACAGCGGCTCCTGTCAAACTAGGGTGTGTGTGTGTTTCTTCCTGATTAATGTCTTCTAATTACCCCCTCCCAGAATTAATTTCCCATCAAAATGTTGAGGGTGAAAGCCCTAGATTAGTTGGGGGTTTTAAGTAAACGGTTTACCACCACACTGGCAGGGATTAAAATGCAAATCCTTTTGCTCAGTAGGTAGAATGGGCATTTGATGTACGCTTTTGTTGGTGGGGAAGAATCAACAGCTGACTAGTAATCAGGACTCATCAGTGGAAATGGCTTCATTTCTATGCACTCGGGCAGTTCTCTTGGTGTGATGAATTTTGGTCTGTGGAGCCCGGGTGAGAGAAGGAGCTTGCTCTGTCTCACAGTCCACCCTGTGTAGTATGGGGAGGATCCCAGGCTTAGAGGCTTCTGTGGGTTGCAGCCGCCTCCCCTGTGGCTTGCCTGCATTTGAGTTAGGATGAAAATTCCAGTCCTGCCCATGGGTGAAGACAGAGACACCCACACAGGAAGAGTCGACTGAGAGGTTCTGAGGGCTGTTGCTTTTCAAGGGAAGATCTCGGTGGCTGCAGATTTTCAGCCTCTGCTTTCTTAGATCAGTTGACTACATTCTATGGTTGTGAATTTTCAGCTAATTTAAGACAGTCTGAAAGCAGTGACTTCCAAAGCAGTCATGGATGGAGTTAAATTGTAACTTAAAATTGGTGTCATACATATAGCATTTGTTGGTGACAAGAAAGCAGACAGGGTAGTCGAAAAAAAGAGGGAGGAGTTTTGGTCCAGCGCAATGCTGACCAGCACTATAGCCAGTAGCTACCCATGACCCATGAGCACTTGCAATGTCTGTAAAAACGCCCTGTGCATTGGATTATAAAGAATTAGTATGGAAACGGCAGTATAAAATAACTCATTAGCATGTGTTGTCCATTCCATCTTGGAATAATATTTTGGATATTTAAAAAGTGTAAAATCAATTTTACCTACTTTTTCTTACCTTTTTGCTGTTAGAAACTTTAAAATTATAAATGTGGCTTATAGAGCAGTTCCATTAGGCAGTGCTGGGTAGGGTTTCATCCTGCTCTTCCTGTCTGCACAGGAGAATTTTTCCTGCTAGGTGAAGGAAAATGGTACTGAACTGTGTTTTTAGGCTCTGGATACTTCTGGCTGAATATTTGCCGTGGTGGAAGCTGTAAGGAGGCAGCAAGCAAATTCTTCCCACTAGAGGGAGATATGTTCCAGGTTCAGGAAGTCTGGGGTTAGCATGTCAGCTTCACTGGTTATGAATACAATCTTTTTTAAAAAAGAAAAACAAGCTCAAGTTTTTGCTCAGTTTCCCTTATGTATAATTTCAGTGTCTCCGGAGGTTTCACTCTGTGATTGTGAGGCCAGGACAAGAAGGAGGCGGCAGAGGTTTTCTGCCTTCCCACTAATGAATCCAGAGGTTGTGGTAACTTGTCATTTGTTTGCAGACTGTTTCTGTGGACTTAAGTCTGTGAACAAGGCAGCACGCACGTGCACATGCACGTGCACATGCACAGACACAGACACAGACAAGGTAGCCTTGTGTGCAGCTGTAAGAGAGAGGACCAGTGCCCCGCTGCAGTCACAGTCCTTCCTGTGTGGCATGCAGGATGCAGTGGCTGGAGCTCCTGGGTTGTGCCGTGGGACTGGGCAGCGGTGCAGTACCTTGTCCATTCTCTTCTGCCTGGGAGCAGTATTGCCTAGGGCTGGAGCAGGTGCTGGCGTTCCCATCTAGTATGCATCAGTTTCCCTGTTGAGCCTCCTCTGAAACTAGCATTGTTTCATGCTCATGTTTTAGTGAAACACTTGTTCCTGCTTGCTTTCTGGGCAGTTTTCACCCTCCCATTATGAATGTACTCTTTTGAACGTCCTTTGTTAGCCTTTCCTTTTGCTAATCTATGTACTTTGTCCCTTTTGAAGGGATCTTGGCCATCCTGGTGGCTTTGTCACTACCCTGGTACGGTGTCTTTATCTCCAGTTTAAGATATTTTTTGACCTCCATCCACACTACTTAACTACCGGACATCACAGACCTAAACATTAGCCTGTCTACATGCTTTCCTTCCCATAACAAGGGACGCCGCAGCACAGTTGTAGTTTCTTGTTATTTGCATCTCTTCCCCCATGTCCAGTAAAAGCCATGCCAGCCTTGTTCTGTTTTGTTTCTAGTGGCTCATAGTGGACCTGGTTCCGTACACCCTCAAGAAATAGTTGAAGGTTTTGTGGTATTTTTTGTTTTGAACCAGTTCTGTTGTTTACTTATAAATGTTCATATTACCCTAATGATTCTATTTTATTATTCTGCATTCTATTGTATAATGCAGTCACAGTTTCGATATTCTGTAGCATGGTCTGTGTAAAAATCTTTCATTTGTTCACTTGTCCCTCTCAGTGGTTCCCTGTGTTGGGTGCTTTCATACCTTGACCCTTTCTTTTTGTGGCCCTTATTACATGTCAAAAAGGTCATTTTTCTCAGCCCCATTGTGTACTCAGGTCATAGAAAGCTTGGAAGAGGTTGAAGAGCCTGACAAGTTTCCTGCCTGTACTTAGTTCACTGGCTGCTTTTCCAGGGTGTATTTGGATTTCTTTTAGTGTTTCTGCTGTATAACCAACCTGATCTGATTTAGATTTGTGACTAATGAGACTGTTTTTCTTGTTAGAACATGAAGAGGAGCTGGACCAAGAATTTGAGCTGGAGACGGACACTTTATTTGGAGGATTAAAGAAGGTACAAGGTGGATAAACAATAAACCTTCTCAGTTCCCAAACTGACACCAAGTCTGGGGGTGTAGCTTAGTGGTAAACCACTGGCCTAGCCTGTCTGTGCAAAGCCTTGGGTTTGATCGCCAGCACTGCCAGCAGCAGAAACAAAAAAACAACTGATTCCAATAGTTTATATCTTTGTTGTGTTTGGGTTTGACCCAGAGAGTGCATTGTTCAGAAAGTAAGCATATTTTCTGTTGCAAAGGTGTGGGTGTGCTATATAGGATAAAGCATTCCCCACAGGCTTTGTTTCCTTGTCCCCTGTCTGTTTTTAAGGCACCAAAAATTAGATTATGTTACCTTATTGTTAGCACAATTTTCATTTTGATCGATTTCAGGAAGTCCTTTGTGGACCTAGCCATATCTGTTAAGATCAAGCGAGCTGTAGCATGACCTCTTCACCAGCTCTTGGCTATGGTAGGAATGCCTGCTCTGTGCCTGCTGTCCACGCTGCTGTAGTGCATGCTGAGAACTCCTGGCCCTGCTGTAGCAGTAGTTGGCACATCTGTCTGCTAATACAGCTCATTTTGCTGCCTCAGTAGGAGGCAGGGTGGCTGTTGTTCAGTGTAGGCCTTGTGCCCTTCTGATGTAGTAGGTCATGCTTCTGTGTCAGAGGATGTTGTAGGTAGGTTCCAGACTCTCCTCTTCCAGTAGAGAGAGGCTAGACCACTTTCTCTCCCACTGGAAACCCTTTTCCTGGGATTCTTTCCAGTCTTTTTCTGTCTGTTCTCTGGGACCTCATTGCAGTCATTTCTTGGATAATGGAAGGTGTAGGGTCCAGCTCATGGTCCAGGGTTCAGGTCGAAGCTAGTTATGAAGTTCTTTCAGTATGTTTTTAAAACAATGTCAAAGCGTTGATTTTTACTACTTTTACTATAAGTAGGTACTGTATCAGGTATATTACAAATTCATTCAGCTTTTGTGGGCTGGCCTGGGACATAAAATAGTGCTTAAAGGTCCGAACATCCTATCTTTCCAGTGAAATTTGGAAGAGAATTAATTTCCAAATTGGGCACTGCATGTACTGGTACTTTTCAACCTTGCAAGTTGGAGATTTTGTTTAGAATTGTAACAAATGTACTTCAGTTACCCTGTCTGCTTCTGCAGCTCTGGCTCTGTACAGAAGGGCTGTATTAGCTGGAGGGCCCATGCGTGAGACTAGGAGGATTGTCCTGCCTTGTGTGGGTGCCTTTTTGTTTTTGTTATTGCTCTACCTACTGGATATTTCTATGAAAAGTTAGACATGAACTGAATTTGCATTCACAGGATCCATTTCTAGATGTCTCTTAGTTCCAAAAGCCCTTTTTAGGATCATTAGTAGCAATGTAAGTTGAGTAGACCTGTGCCCACTTCAAAGATGAGGAAACATGGAAATTGGAGATGTGACAGATGGCTTTGTGAGTGTTTTTGATTTATTCTTTAGAAGCATAACACTATTGGATCTCCCATAACAACCAAAAAAGACCAATTTTCCAATTCAGAGTCATATAATCTGGACATTTCAGGTACTGAATTGTTTGCTGGGGCAAACATAAGCTTATCTATTTTACAGCAAGAGACCTTTAACTGAAGAGACACTATTGTGAGGCAGCATGAAAAATGGACTAGGCCCTGAGATGTTTTAGAGCCACTACGGGTCTCATTGTCAGGAGCAGGCTCAGCCCACTGGTATGTTGTTTCTTCTAGAGCATGGGGCTTTGTCTTTACAAACCTCTAATCCCACCCCTCCATCAGTCTAGCTGCTGGACACCCTGCTAAGGCTGCCGCGCCTGGGGGCGTGACTTCTTCTATGTATTCTCCATGACAGTTCTGTCACAGGGCTCTCTGGGGGGAGGGAGCTGACGTTCAGGCCAACCCTGCCTTTGCAGAAAAGTGCACAAAGCACAGAGATGCCCAAGAACTGCACCATTTGTTATGCTGACAAATCTTGGTCTGTCTGTCCTTCTGTCCATCTGACCATTCAGCCATCTACTCGGTGCTCAGTACCTGGCATGTGGGCTGGGTGATTCAGAGTCCTGGGATTTAGAGAAAAAATGCTGCATCCTCAAGGATAGGCAGTAGAGGAGGGAATTGACACAGTGATCTTAGGTTCTGGACACGCTTTGCTGAATGGGTCCCTTCATGGAGGCTGTAACAGAGGGCAAGCAAATGCCACTCTGGTCCACATTCTAATCAAAGGAAGATTCTGGCTGTGAATGGAACAGAAATCATGACGTGGGGGAAAGCTTGGGTTATCTGACTAGCCCACTCTTGAATAGTGCTAAACCTTGGCACTGCTGACATGTGGAACCCATGAGCATTTGTTGTGAGGGAGCAGTTGTACACACTACAGGATGCAGAGCAGCCCGGGCTCATCCTTTGCCCAAGGTCTTGATGATAAACATGTCTCCAGGCATTGCCAGATGCCTCCCAGGGATAAATTCACCCACTTTTGACAACAGATGGCTCAGTGAAAGGCTCTATCCCCCTCGCTGCCTTGGTTGTGCAGATTTGTCATGCTTCCCTTTGCCCCTCCTTGTTCTCCATCTGGATGGTTCCTCCCTGCTTCCGTCTCAGGAGTTACACCTCAGATCTCAGTGTGGCCTCTTTCTCAGAAGCACTGCCTAAACTTCGAAATTGGGCTTAGTGTTCATAATTCCTAATACTTCTCTCCCTCCCTCCTTCCTTCCGCACCTGTACATTGATTGCTGTTGTCTCTATGCTCAGTATATGCTGCCTGCTGGCAACAGTGATGAGCCAGGCAGACAAGGTTCCATGCTGGAGCTTCCTCATGGGGAAAGACCAACAATAAATGAACAAATGTAGCAGCTACAGATTGAGCTAAATTATGTGAAGGTGCATTCATTCATTCATTTTTCATTACCATAAAAAATAACGGAGGAGGCAGCCACTTTATGAAGGAAAGGGGTTTACTTTGGCTCACGGTTGTGGAGGTACAGTGGTACCTGGGTTCATAAACTTAATTCATTCCACAATTCTGGGGAAGATGACTGTGATTGTCTTAGTTACTTGATATGGAGTTCACAGACAGAAGCAAAATTTTGCTGACTGCTTCTGTTTGCAAAGCGAGTTATTCACGAAAAGAGGCGTTCATGAACCAAGTCCAAAGTGGAGGGAACTTGACTGCTGCTGGCCTTGTTGTCTGAGTCTAAGTCCACAGGACATCACTTGGTGAGGGACAGTGAGCTCATGTGTGTTAGTGTGCCTCTTTCTGGTCTCTCCCTGTTATAAAGCCACCAAGTTTCAATCAAGGGGCTCCAACCTAATGACCTCTCCTCTTCCTAATCCCAAGACCCCACTTCTAAACACTGTAGTTGGATTAAGTTTTCATCCCCTTACAGTGGGCACTAAATTTTAGTGTCATGAAGGGGACATCCAAATCATATCTAAATCATGGCAGAAGGAAATAAACTGATCAGTGATACTGAAGTAATGCTTTGGGCTGTATCACATACCCCATTATGACACAGTTATTTGCACAGTTTTATGCTGTATTATCCATCCCAAGTTGATGGTGTGTCTCATAACCAGGGCTGAGATTGAATTATTTCTGTCTCCTCTGTGCCTGGAACAGTGAAGACAGGTACTGTATTGCTTTCCACTGCAGGAAAGAGTAAAGACATTAAAGTTAAATACAGCAGCCCTAGGCGCATGCTGGATGGGTGGGCAAGCTTCCTGTAGGATAGGGAAAGAGAGTTGGGTTTTAATGAGGTTCAGGTTCAGAGGGTCACAGCCAGGAGGACCTTTGCGCCCGTTTTGTTTCCTTGTTGTAATGTCAGCTGTCATGGGGAAGCAAGTGCATGTGCATCTGTTGTGACTCCATTTGCCACAGAGCTTGCTGTTTTGTCCCATCTGCTCCTCCAGGCCTGGGGCTGAGGACCACCTGCCCCACAGGTGGCCATTGTTCCTGGGGGTCTGTGTGGCCAGGGCCTCACCTCCTTGGTGTTGTCTGTCACTGCTCTCGCAGTCTTCTTTCTCTTTTTTCTTGCTGGTCTTCTCTGTAGTGGTGCTGAGGAGATAAAGGAAACCTCTCAGTGCTTGTTCTTGCTCAATGAAGTGAAAGGTTTTAGACAACATGGGCTGGGCTGAACCGAAACTCACACGCTCTGGTTTGCATTGCGTTAAGGTTTTCTTTCCATTTTTATTTCTGATTCAGGGTACTTGGCATAATGGAAAGAGCTCAGGTTTGGAGTTGTGTGGACCTGAGTTCAAACATGGCTTTACTACATCATGGAAAACCATTCACCTTCTCTGAGTCTCAGTTTTATTATCTGGAATATGGGACTGGTAGGTGATGGCTGTAAAACACCGAGCATCTATATGCTTGGTGCAGAATGGATGCCTACAACATGATGTGGCTACTGTCCGTCCGTCCTTCCTTCCTTCCATCCTTCCTCTCTTTTTCTTTCTTTTCTTTTTCAATGGATGATTATTTTCTTATATTGCAATAAGAGTTGTTGGGAGGTAATGTTCTACAGAGAAATAATGGGAATTGCTGCTGAAAGGGGCATTGTGCTCCATATCCCGATATCTTATGAGTGCTGCAGGCAAGCACTTCTCCCTTCTCTCACAAGAGCATGTTTTCCTAAGGCAGGCTTCTGAAACTGGGGCACACCTGTGTGTAAGCTGTTCTTTCAGAAGTAAAATCGGAGAAGACTTCACAGTGTCTGTGAGAAAGCTAAGGAAGGAATGACAAGGACAGAAGAGGAAACTTGATAGTTGATGTCTTTAAATATATAGAGAAAAGTGGTACTTTTCTAAGTAAAGACATGGTTTTTAAAAGGCCAGGGGTATAGCTCAGTGGTACAGAGCCTGCCTGGCAAGCGCGAGGTCCTGAGTTTGATTCCCAGTACCAAAGACGTGGTTGTAGCTATTCAAGCTTTGCCTACCATAAAGATTTTAAGATTTAGCTTATCTATAAATGCTTCCTTATTTCAGTACTTTGAAAAAGTAGCATTGCTTTGT